TCTTACACTGCTATATTAGGAACGGCTAGCGCAGATAGCCCTCGTGAAGCTTTGCGCGAAATTCAAAAACAAAACAAACAAACACAAACATGTTATACAAAGTTCACGTTTTCAAAATATTTTTACGACAGTAGTTCAAGCAGTGTTTCTATATTCCATAGGTAAGGTATATTATCTATCTATTGTTACTTTCTCTAGTAATAGTGGTTATTCTATTTAGTATAATGAATATCATTTTTTTTTATTTTAGTTTATTGATTATTATTATAAAGATTGTTTTTCATTGTTAGTTTAATATATGTATTTAAAACTAACTTAAATTTCCTAAGCCGGCCGAACATCATGAGGTATTACTATGAATACAACCGAAAATATCGTGAGCAGCGAGGGTACTTAGCTGATGAAACAAGCTATTTTAATCTTTATAAGTAGAAACGTATGAAACATATACTTAATTAGCTATACTGATTGCTAGTTTGATTTTTAGTTTTGCTCTAAGTATGTATTTGATCTAATCAAAAACTACTAGTAAAAAACAAAATACTATTATGAATGTTTCTGTTTTTAAAACTTCTATTTACTTTTTGTAGCTACAACATCTTAAGAAAATATATATCTTAGTTACCAAGCTATCATTTTACCCTGTCTTATGTATAAATGTCTTGTTTTCACACACAAAACTTAAAATACCTTGTTTCCCGATATTGCTAGGGCTCATTAATAGTGTTTGATGTTCCTTTGTGGCCAAAGAGCGTTGTCTGACCTTATTAAGGTGGATGAGTTTTGATGTAACATTAATGGAAAATTAATATCGTGTAATACTAGTACAGGAGTTTAATTACTAATGTTGTGTGACATTGATAAGAACTGATTAATGTTGTCTGGCACTAGTATGGACTGATCTGACGTTACCATGGGCTTCAGTGTGGTCTTACGTTTCTGTGAACTGATTAATATTTTGATATTAGTAAGGGGTGGTTTTAATATCTGGCAATAGTAAAATTACTTTCTATTACTTGACTTTACTTAGAACTGGTTTACTTTATCAGGTGGGATACGTTTTTGATGTTTCTAAATTATCACTGAAAGTGATTAACACGATCGAAAATAAATATTGCTAATAGTTTCGTTGGGTCATATTTGTTTCACCAGCTTCTATAAAATCACAGTCAAGAGTAACTGCAGGGATTTAATGTGCCACAATAAACAAAAAACGTTAGCAGAATGGATATACTTTTAATTTAGTTTTGAACATTATGACACCAATTTCTTAAAGTTCAGAAAGAACTGCTTACCTTGTTTCTCTCCGTTCATAGTTACTTATTTTTACACGCCAGTAATAAAAATAGATACATTTGGATATGTAGAATGTTTCAATTAAAGATATTTTATAAAAAAAGTTTAGGGCAAGAAGAAGTTGAGTTGCAAACCACTGGTTATTTTTCCTAATTAGCATTCATAATTGAAAATGAAAGTATGCAAATTTTGAAAGTAAATTGTCTTTCAAGCATCTAGAATTATGATCACTCACTCAAACATCTCTCTTTTTCAATTGATATTCAATATACGTGTATATTAGCAAGTTATTTAAAACGTTTGATTATTGATACATCAGAAATAACAAAATATTGATGATATAAATGTAACGCAATTCCAGCTTCTATGTCTTCATTTTATCAATTTAAAATGGTGTTTACCTTATTGGGCAAAAAAATTATTCTAATTTAACGATAAACAACATCACAACATAAACGATAAATAAAATATTTAATACACGCTTCGAAATGTCCTCATTTCATCTTCAACAAATATATACAGTAAAAACAACTTCAATTTTATTATCTAAGATATTTATATTGCAATGAATTACATACAAAATCATAAACTTTTATATGAAGGAAAAGAAAGAAATAAAAGGATGGAGAATAAAAGAAAATATAATCTAAATATATAAAACAATGAATAGCAGACAGTCCTAAAAATAATGTATATAGATATAAGTGTGTGTGTGTATACTTAAAATTAATAAATAGTAGAATAATATTAAAACAAATTTAATTCAACAGAAGTGAAATTATTATTCAAGATAGGGATATACTGTAAAACCAGGAGAGAGAGCGACTCTGTTTTAATAGTTTATCCTATGTTTTCTTTATAATTTTAAAATCCATTTCTATAGAATGGTTTCTTTTAGTTTGTAGTGAGTTTTGTGCTTCAATTTACATCGCAGTAAAAACGAAATTATTTTGATTTTAAAATTGAAATCAACATGAATCATATTTTATCAGTAAGTGTCATCTAGAGGGTGATTTGTAGGAAAGAGAAATGTCAGAAAGTTTTTACTAATGCAGAGTTTCAAATTATTTTTCACGTAAACAACCAACCAAGAATGGATGTTAATATGAATAATTTTTCAGCCAAAGAGGTTTGAGAAAAATGAATAATAACCCTAGTGCTTATATATGATATATGACAAAACAAGGAACGAACTTGAGGTTTATTCAAAATTTAAATAAAAACAAACACAAACAAGGAATTGGAGATATTTATAAAGCAGTTACTCCACAGCTTGACATTATAGCTTGGATTTGTGTTTTGGGCGACTGAATTTTTTGTTAGATAGATTATTTTAGGTTATTTCATCATATAAAGGTAATTAATACAGAGCGGTGCCAAATTCGTGCACCAACGTAATATTTTTAATTTTCAGCCTAATTTTGTTTCTAAATCATGTTTGCGTTTCATTAATTGTCTGTTATTTTTTGGTCACAAGAACTGTTTGAGATTTCGTTATCCATTACAAGGACGTGCTGGAGTGATTCAGTTGTGTGAGGATTCTAGATTGAGTCAGTGGCGGGTCGCAACAAAACTTAATTTGAAGCATCTTGCCGGGAGACCTTTTTTCTCTGATATCCTCTCAAACTACGCAACGGCTATCTGCACTAACCGTCCGTAATATTGAGCTGATAGACTAGAGGGAAGGTAACTAGTCAACAGCACTCACATCTAGCTTTCGGGCTACTTTTGTCTGACCAGTCAGTGGAGTTTGGCTGTTACTCTTATAACGTATCCAAAATCCCATAAGCGGACGCAGTTTCTTTTGCAGTAACAGGACGCGAACCACGGACCCTCAGATCTACAGTTCGGCACGTTTAACAACGAGAATCTTTTGTCGCACATAAGTGTGGGTCATTTGCTCGCCAAGTTTCATGAAACTGGTTATGAGGTTAGTGTTAACTGCAGAGGAAAACCTACAGCAACGAAGGAAGATCTTTCGGACATAGTGGTAGACCATCTCTTTGTAAGTTCAACAAAGTCAACTCGCCAAATTGCGCGAGAAGAAGGAATACGCTAACGAAGTACACTCCAGATTATAAAGTAAAATAACTCATCTTTACGAGCTGCACATACCCCAGAAGTTTACAGAATAGAACCCTTATTAGTCTATGGAGTGTTATGGGTGGTTTAGTGTAAAATGATGGGATGCCATGTTTTTGAACCATTTTTCATCGATGGACAATGGAGTTTTATGAATGATTCATAGAACAGCAGGAACTTCACCGAAAATATGTTTGGGTAAAATGAAACAACGTTTTATATCGACAGTGGAATTAGCTATCACAGTTGCCAATACTGGTACCAAAATAATCCACGTAGAATTGCAGGATGTGGTTCCACTAGGATTGTGCACTCTCTCACTAACCACACATTGGATGTAGTTCCAGTAGGGTTGTGCACTCTCTCACTAACCACACATTGGATGTAGTTCCAGTAGGGTTGTGCACTTTCTCACTAACTACACATTAGATCTAGTTCCAGTAGAATTGTGCACTGTCTCACGTACTACACATTGGATGTAGTTCCAGTAGAATTGTGTACTATCTCA